ACTATAGCCTTCAGTATGGAGTACACCTTACCATAAAGAAAACAAAAATCCTCACAACTGACTATGAATAAGCAACATCACCGATAAATGGAGAAAAGATTGAAATTGCCAGGGATTTCATTTTACTTGGATCCACAATCAATACCCATGGAAGCAGCTATCAAAAAATCAAACATTTTGTGGCACTGGACAAATCTGCTGCAAAAGACCTCTTGAAAGTGTAAAGAAGCAAAGATGTCACTTTGAAGATAGGGTATGCCTAACCCAAGCTATGGTATTTTCACTTCCCTCACATGCATCTGAAAGCTTGACAATAAGACCGACGAACAATCAATGCCTTTGAATTGTTGTTGTTGTTATGTGCCATCGAGTTGGCCCCGACTCATAGCGACCCCTCCTTGGGTTTCCGAGGCACTATCACTATGGAAGTAGATTGCCCCATCTTCCTTCCGAGGAGTGGCTGGTGGGTTTGAACCGCCAGCCTTCTGGTTAGCAGTCAAGTGCCTTAGCCACTATGCGACCAGAGCTCCCTTGAATTGTGGTCTTGGCGAAAAAAACTGAAAATACCATGGACTGCTGGGAGAACAAACAAATCTCTCCTGGAAGTGCAGCCAGAATGCTCCTTGGAAGCGAGAATGACGAGACTTCGTCTCACCTACTTGGATCATGTTGTCAGGAGGGACCAGAACCTGGAGAAGGATCATGCTTGGTAAAGTGGAGAGTCAGCGAAAAAGGAGAAGACCCTCAACCAGATGCACTGACAGTGGTTCAATAATGGGCTCAAGTGTAGCAACAATTGTGAGGATGGTGCAGTGTTTCAGTCTGTTGTACACAGGGTTGCTGTGAGTCTGAGTTGACTCTAGGGCACCTAACGACATCGGTGTTTCTTTTAAAGTGATGGAAAATGTAATTGTTCATTAATAGAGGTAATGGTTGTACAACATGATGACTGTAATTAATGTCACTGAATTGTACACTTAAAATTGGTTAAAATGGTGACTATTTTATATATCTTACAATAACAATAAATCTATTAGCACATTCTCCCTTTTAGGGCAGGGAAACTGTGAAGAGGACTAGAAGTGCAGTGCATTGAATGTTTATTCTTAGCTGGTTGCTGTTATGAGTCCTTGCTCATCAAACTTCCTAATAGTCTGAGATTGTTCTACAGAAGGGAAAATGGGCTCATAGAAATCACCTCATCCATGCCGGTCTGTTAAGGCTACAAAATTACAGAGCCATGATTCCAACCAGGTATGCCTCACCCCCACACCTATAGCTCTGCACTCCAGCATCCCACAGTCACTCTCAGCATCAGTTTAGCCATGTCACGTCTGCCCTGAGGCTCAAATGAGCCAACTAGAGAGAAAGACTCTGGAGACCAGGAAGGCCCTTGCAGCTGCTAGATGGTGTGGGAATTACTCGGCAGCTTAACATCACAGACTTGTATTTCCTGATCTCTCAGGCATCAAAACATGACAACCAAGGCTATTTTTGAGATATTTCCTGCCAGATGAAACCTAGGAAGTACTGGAGCTCTTGTAAGGACATTTTGATCTCATAAAGAGTTTTTAAATCTCTGCTCCTACTTCCTCTTTGAGAACAAATTCATTTTCATTGGTCCAGTGGCAGAAGGGCTGGGAGGTGCTCTGTGACTTGAAGCACACCAGGCCTCTCTTTTCTGAAGTTCTCTAAGGTGTCTTGTAACTATCCAGTGACTCAAGCCATTCAATTTAGCTTCCTGATGTGGAATAGTGGGCTTCTGCCCAGATCGTATGAACAAGCAGATCTGCCTCTATAGGTGGCTTTGTCCAGAGGTGGGTGACTAACACACAGGGCACTATGGATGACCTCGTGCAGGACACCCCTGGTCTGTGAGTAGAGACTGGATAAAAGAATTTGAGGTAGAATGGATCAAACCTTCCTAGTATGGCTACAGGTTGCACACTATAGCTTTGATAATATCACGAGTCATTTTGCCAAAAATCATTACAAAATGCCTAATGCTAAGAGAACCTTTCACTGTTGTGGATGGGGAAGAGACCAATAGCTGTACCTTAGATGGCTGCTCACAAGCTTTTAAGAGCCCAGTTACCAAAGTAGGATGTAAAACAGTCTCCGTGGAAACCCCTTACTTTCTAAGCGCTTCATCTCCCATATATATTGTATTGTCTCAAAGCTCTGTATGTTTTGTCTTCCCTGTTCCCCAATGCTTACAGTATTTTAAAAGACTGGGCACTCAGGTGCTGTAACCTCTGACACTTTTTAAGAAGTGCACCTGCTCTGTGCATACTAGTCTTGGTTCTTACGATATAACTGCTGAGAGCACAGGGTCTGGAAGCTGACAGTATGGGAAGGAATTCAGACTTTGCCATTTACTGGGTTAACTCAGGCAAAATATTTATCCAGGCTGTGCCTCAGTGCTTTCACCTATGAAAAGACAGTAGCCAGACTGACTTGATAGGATTGTTGTGAAGATTGTTAATTAGAACAGTTGGAACAAGTATGCAGTAAAACCTATTAGAGCCACTAACCACACTGATTATCTCCACTGGTGTCTGTCTTATGTCATCCTCTCAAAATCTTTGGGGTCAGGAAATGATCACCTGTGAAACCCAAAAAGTGGTGTAGAGTAGGTGCTTACCACTGTATTTGAAGTGAACTACTGAAGCCTTACTGGAGTCAGAGCTGATTCGATGGCCCCTAACAACAATAACAAGAGGAGGAAATTATGAAAACTCTGAAGTCTACTCTGATACACATGGGGTTGCCATGAGTGGGAGTTGATGACAAATTTGCTCCCCACCACCCGCTAGTACTACTCCAAACCCATCTCCCTCAACAAGAAAAAGTAATTTGAAATGGTTCTCTCCAAGTGTTCACAAAGAAGGGAGCAATTAGAACTCTGGATGCAACAGAACCGGGTGGAGACTGGCTAGAAAGATACAGCAGTTAACGAAATGTTGGCAGTTTGAACCCAACAGTCACTCTGTGGGAGAAAAATGTGACAATCTGCTCCAGTGAAGATTACAGCCTTGGTAATCCTATGGGGCAGTTGTACTCGGACCTATAGGATAACTATGAGTCAGAATTGACTCAATAGCAATAGGTTTATATCTGCTAGTAGGAGTCCCTGAATAGGGCAAAAGACTAAGTGCTCAGCTACTAACTGAAAGGCTGGAGGTTCAAATTCATCCAAAAGTGCCTTGGAAGAAAGGCTTGATCTACTTCTGAAAAATCAGTCACGGAAAAACCCTATGGTGCACAGTCTACTCTGCCACATATGGGGTCGACATGAGTTGGAGTTGATTTGATGGCAAATTTGCAACCCCTCCACCAGCTACTACTATCCCAAACCCGTCCTCAACAAGAAAAAGCAATTTTTTGATCACAAAGAGGCCATATTTTTTTATTGACAACTCAATCTCTACATAATACAGTATTGCACAAATTATAAGTAGATCACCAATCATGTCAATGATACAAAATCACCAGCCCTGATATAAAGCTCTAGATTTGCTGCATTTGTGCTAGGTACGTTAGTGAACAATGGCAAACATAAATGCTAACAGCACTACTTCATTCCATTAAGAAAGTTCTCAAAAAAAGCATGTATGCCAACTCACAGAATACTTTTATGTCAAACCCAAGAAAATCAATAACTAAATGACAAAATGAACACTATTTAAAAAAAGTTGGTGATAAAAATGATAGGATAAAGTGTTAGGTTTCAAATTTTGCAATTGGGTATCAGATGCAGTGAATATAAGCACACTGGGGATTTCTACAAAACACCTATGTTCTGTTTCACAGTAATGAATACGTTCCAAAAGACTAATTCTGAGTTGCCAGGTCTTACCTGCTAGTGTAAGCCATTGTTCCTTAGTTCTAAAAAGCAAGACAATAATGCCCATAAAAGGCTTTTACAGTTAAGTCTTTGAAATCAGAATAAAACATTATTCCATATCAAATTACAGAATAATATTCCATATTAAATTACTAAGAAATTTTATCCAAATATGGACCAGATAGGGAAGCCAGTCTACCTACTTCCCCAACTGCCTGAGAGAGAGATCACAAGCCACCTACAGGGACAGGGAGGTCTGGGAGAGGGTCTGGGTCTACCCCTGACTTCAGTGTGAGGGCAATCAAGTTTTCAACTTCCCTGGGTTTGGACTGCTCAGCTACAGAACTGAAGGGGTGGGCTAGCTAGCTTTAAGAGCCCTTTCAAACAAAAACAAAATCCGATCAAGACCCCATCTTTGAGTAGAATGCAGGGTGATAACAGGAATGGGCTAAAAAATAGGTGGACAGAGTAATTTCTATCTTTTGATACCATCACTTAGAACTATTCTATATGGCAATTCTAGGAAATCTTTGCCTAATACTTCTATCTAATGGCTGACACTATCTGAAGGTAAAGATATAATAAGTAAAACTTATCTGCTTTGTAAATATGCACCCAAATCACAATGAAAAAATTTAAAACAAAAATAAGCAAATGAGTCAGTAACAATGGAGTTTTTGATAAAAATGTAAAAAGGCCATGCCAAGTTTGGGTAGGAAAACATTGCACTGCCACATTCTGAACAGCATTCGGGAGTCTTGCCCCTAATTCTTAAGGGCCATCAACCTGGCCGGGAATGCCAAGGGAGTTCACGCAGTTCAAGCCATTTAATTAAGATCTAATGAGTGCACACCTAGGAGGAATATGTTTCCTGAAATCCTACCAGGAAGGCAACTTTGATGAAAACTGGTTCTAACAGAAAAGATGTAATAAAGTCTGGGGTAGGATGTTTTTCCTTTATAGAACAGAACAATGATCCAAGGAGAGCAATGGCTTCTCGTATTCTTTCCTTAAGAAGAACACAAACATCACTTCTTTTTGAATTCAATACACTGGCTTAGTTTTCAAACGCGTTATTTTTATTTTCCACGTAAGGCAGCCATACATTGTGAATCTAAGAATGTGAGAGTCACATGATTTCCTTAGTAATAAGCCCAAAGTTTCCGTGAGCATCACTGGATCTCATAGCCAAGAGGAGTCCTGAGATTTCAGATATTAAAGCTTTCTCCACAGCCACATGTTCCTTTGATGTTTGGGTTATTGAACACAAACTCACTGGATAACTTGTCTTCTACATAGTCCATTTCTGTTCCTAAAAGGGTTAGCTGTGCTTTCTTCTCGATGAACACTCTGACACCTTGGGGAAAAGAAAACATTTGTCAGGTAGAGCCTGTGTACCTATGGAGCTGCCCAGTCAAAGCTCAAGTGAACCTGGAAAATGAACCACTAACTGCTGTTTCAAAGGAGCCAGTCAGGAAGCTTTTGAAGGTTTCATTATTTCCTTTAAGGAATTAAGTGTTCAGTTTCCTCTCTGTTCCATAGATTCCACATGAATCTATGTCAAGAACAATTATATTAGGGTTGACAGTTATACAAAAGTAAATTCCATCCCAATTCTCTACAAACCTAGAATTTTCTGTTCACTTTTATTCACCCATTTTTCCAATTTGCAACATTAAGAAAAATGACCGGAAGCTCTGGTAGCATAGTGGCTAAAGCACTTGACTGCTAACCAGAAGGCTGGCGGTTCAAACCCACCAGCCACTCCTCAGAAGGAAGGTTGGGCAATCCTACTTCCGTAGTGATACTGCCTCGGAAACCCAAGGAGGGGTCGCTATGAGTCGGGGGCGACTCGACGGCAAACAACAACAACAACAACAAGAAAAATGACAGCTTCTCTACATAGGGCACAATGCCAAACCTAGAGACACACAAAAGGACTGTTGACATAATGAGGTCATTTAAATAAAATTAGTTAAGAATAATAACAATAGTTCTGATTATGGGCCAGAAAACTGGTCATAATACTGGTCATCCTACCTTATCTTTGTAAATACCATCAGTTTGACTATAAAAGTAGCCAAGATGAAATATCAAGAGTTTTCTTGTAAGAAAGTCAGTCATTCAAATATAAACTATACATAATTTTAGAATCCCCTCTTCTTTAACTGTAGAATAAAAACTTTAATGTATAAAATAGTTTGAGTTGATTTTAAAAATAATGTCTTAAAAAAATTGCTTTGTGTTAGATAGACAGAGATAAATATTGATTTGAGTGAAGAGAAGCGCAATGTACCAAATGTGAGTGACCAATATGGCAGCATTGAGGATGAGAAAGACA